TTTTTTTTTATTGTTAACCCCAATTTTTTTATTCAGGGACGAAGTGCTGCTAGAACAAGATGTCAACCCAATTCAGGATCAGGGTCCAGTAATTCACAACAGTACTTCTCAGTTACAAAGTGGTAAAAGATGATTGTTGATTTTGCTATACTTGTTCAGTATCTTAGTTAAATCTCATGGGGCTCTGTTTTATGTACATCAGATAGAATAGAAGGGAAAATGAAATGTGGATGTTTCAGACACTTTTTTCCTTGACAGATAGTTTTGATATGTATAGAACTATATCAGACATTTTGCTGCTTTCAGGAGAAAAAAAGAACAACATTTTGCTAATGTGCTACCCCAATAATAATGTTTGCGGCTTTCTATCAGTGTGAAACATTCAAAGTGATAATGATTGTACTACTTTTTGTTTAGATGAATACTTGCTGGATGCCAAATTGTGAAATTTATTGAATAATCAATTTAAGGACCACCTTGCTTTCAAGCAATTCTATGTTGAACGGCTTTGTGAATACAAGGCTAACCTCTTTGTCCCAAACTCAATATTATTTTTAATAACTGTAGTGTGGTCTTACTTTTATTTTTTTTCTTGCATTGCAGGTTTGTAGTGGGGTAATCTTGTTCGTTCACTCTTGAAGTTCAACATCTGATGTACTAAGGATGGTTTTTTTTGCGGGTGTTTGTTTAAACTCAATAAGGATTTTGTAGCTCTTCTCTGTAATAAGGATGGTTTTTTTTTTTGTTTTTGTTTTTTGTATGTGTGGGTTGGTAATTTGTATAGGGATGACGAGCTCACTTCCTATACAATGGATGTTGTACATAATTGTTTTTCCCTTAGGTAATGAATACTTGATGTTATCAAGTTTATTTTATCTTAGTAATGAAAACTTTATTCAGTTCATAGTGTGGTAGTTTTCCCGTGTTTTCTCTTCCACTTTTCTGAACTTTAATGGCATATATGATAGTTTGTTTCACTATTTCAGTACTAGTAAACTCATCCAAGACATTCATTCATATAACACCAAAACTTAACTATGATATTAAAGAATAGCAGCAAAACAAATTTGTTTCCTTTTAATTGAAATGATTTCTGAATGGTTTTCTTTGTTCAATACACTGCGCATATTATAGGGCACTTAGTTTTTGCCTTCTCATTTATATCAGTGTGATCTGCCATCAATTCCAAATGTCGTTGGTGTAAAAGTCCTCTATTAAATTGAACCATAAAGTCCACCAAGGAATTGTTTTTTGATACATACCTCTTGAAAAATGCATGCCCACTTTCTGCTCGCTGACTACTAGACATTCCACATGAAAAAATGTGGTTCACATAAGCTGGCACCCATTTAGATCGAATATTAAATATTGATTGCAACCATGTATCTTCATTTAACCCGTTGTCCTCAACAATTCTCTTCCATCTCAAGTCAAACTCATCTCTACTCTCAGAATTCCAAACACATTCTCTAAATTGTTGATAGTGAAGAATACACTCGGGCTTGTCAGAGAATTTATTCAAAATATGCCAGCTACAATACCTGTGAAATGTGTTTGGAAGAGCTTCTGAAATGGCTTTTGTCATTGCTGGATCCTGATCAGTAATAATAATTTTTGGAGCATCACCTGGCATAGCCCTCAAAAATTCTCTAAACAACCAAATGAAGGAGTCTGCAGTCTCGTCACTTAAGAATGCCCCAGAAAAAATAATTGTCTGACCATGGTTGTTTACTCCCATAATTGGTGCAAAGATCATACAATATCGATTGGTGTTGTAGGTAGTGTCGAAGATAACCGCATCACCATAAAACTTGTACGATTGCCTAGAGATTGCATCAGCCCAAAAACATCGAGTAATCTTGTGTTCAATATTTGTCTCAACCTTGAATATGAACCCTGGATTTTTTTCTTGCTCATTCATGAAATGATCAAACAACATTTCTCCATCATGACCCTTGATCTTCATACGTCTATCTCTGTTGGAGTTGTACATATCTTGTTGAGTAAAACCAACATTTTCAATGCCTCCAGCTTGCGTTGCTAGAATGTCATATTGTTGGTGTGTGGATACATTTACGGATATTAGTTGTTGTGCTACAAGTTGATCAACACCAGAAATTCGACGATGGGACTTTAATAAGTGGCGTCTTCGTATCCCTCCCTCACCACCTCGACTAACCCCAAAAGTATGAGCCTCTTCAAATATGGTGACTACGTATCCACCATATCTTGATTTAACAACTATTAGTCGTGCCTTGCAAGACTCTCTGCCTACTCCACGACGCCTTTTTACAGCACCACTTGTTTCAGTTGACCAACTTCCCTCTTTATTGCAAACGTACTCTTTTCGTATGACCTCTCCGTCTTTACTCTTCTTACTAGAGTATGATCGAACACTAAACCCAGCTTCCCTTGCATACTGATTGTAAAAGTCATACACTTCTTCTAATGTTTCAAATTGTTGACCTTGGAAGGGAGTGAGCTCACCAATTACTTGAGGATAGAAAATTGATACAGAAGGATTTGTTTCCGAATCAGTTTCCATGTGAACTAATATGCCATTATTAGCTTCCATAGTTGAACAACAGGTGAGCAAATCTGTTTACCATAGAACATGCACAGATACACTTTAATCACAAAACATGGACATATATATGACATTCTGTTTTTTCTTCTCAAATATCAATTAAGAGTAGATAAAAAAAAAATATTATATGTAAGAAATTCTATTTTCTTGTATTTTTTTTTCCTTAAACTATGTTGAATGGAGCATTGAAAACACGATGGAAAACTACAAAACTACAAAACTACAAATCTACAGTACTCCCAAAAAACAAAAAAATAAGTAGCTATGAATCACAAGAAACACAAACCATGTTGAAAGGAGCATTGAAAGCACAGGTTTGATGGAAAATTACAAAACTACAATACTCAATAAATAAAAAAAAGTTGTAGAATTGTTGATGAGTTCTTAAAATCCATATCAAAACTCAGGATACCATACCCGTTTATTTTTGTTTATTTTTACTTCATACACATGATATTCCAAAACTTTAAGAAACCATTAAAAATCTGGAGGAGTGATCTTCAAACCCATTGAAACCATATCAGAATTCATCCCAGAACTCCAAATCGAAGAACCATGGCTCAGATATTGAAAGAATAAGAACCAATGATAGCATACCTCTGTCGCATAGATGGTGGGTCTTCTTCTTCAACTGACGATGGTGAGTCTTCTTCTTCACGTTGGGTCGTTTGGTCTGCGTGATAGGTCTCCAAGCGTTGGAGGAAAAAGAGAGACGTTTGGTTTCCCAGCGTACGTCGTTCCCTCAACTGAAGTGGAGTTTGTGGTGGGTCAGGAGTGTGAAAACGGGGTAAAAGATGTAATTCAATCTCAGCCACACAAGGTCATTAAAACAGATCCAACGGTTGAGCGCCCCATCCCTCAAATAACACTATTTGAGGGATCCCTCAACTGAAGGGGACTGTATGTATATATATATATATATATTTCCAAGCATATTCAAGTGCTGGTACAGATTGGAGTTCCATCAGATTCGTAAAGGGTGCAGCCCAGTGCCGGAGCTAAGCAACAATTGCAGACTGGATCAAGCTGCGTATTGCCTGAAGAAGGGCAAGTCATATAAGCAGCTGCTCCGTAACAAATCTTATTGCAAACTTTGGCTTCAGTTGGATTGATTGCCAGTAGTAGGATTGAACCTGTCATGAATTTTTTAAACGTAGATGGATGATTCATCATATACTCAAGAATACATCATTCAAAATTGAAAACAAATGAAATTTTTACGTATATATAACCGAAACACCACACATGTCATGAGGATGAGGTGGAGTTTACTACAAGAATTTTATTGTACTGGAGTACGGCTACATCATATAACATGTTCACATGTTATGATATAGGTGGATGACCGAAAGATATTTCTCACTTTTAGGATATGGTAACAATAAATATTCACATTTGTTATAATATTTGGACAAGTTATACAACATAGGCGTACGTGTCACCAAAAACTTTTAATAACAAGGTGAGTTGAAGAAGAGTGGGAGATCACATACCAAAAACTAGGAGAAGAACCATTGCTCCAATATTCTTGTCTGCAGCCATGCTTTTCTGTGAGTTTGGAGGCTATGAAGATTGCTCTACTTATACTAATTATTAATAATAAAAAAATTGAAGACCAATCTCTCTACGTCTCCTGCTGCATGCATTTCGTCGTGTGAATACACCAACAGGATCAGCAGTGTCATTTGAATTCAAATGAGCTACATTCAAATGAGCTACATTATGTAGGAGAACATTTGAATTCAAATGAGCTACATTCAAATGAGCTACTTCATCAATACATAGTTAGTCAACGTTTCATTTCTATATTCCAATGATATTGCAATATATCATGGTCAAACAATACCGTTGCTAAGTTTGAAAAAGCAAGGGTTCAAGTAATGTCAAAAATCTGGGAGTGTTTGAATTAGCTATTGATCCTTGTTATTTTTATCAGCGGTTGACTGGAAAAGAGATCGTTGACCAACAAATGGAAGGTAATGGGAATATACAATTTTGTTGAAAAATGTTTCATGCGATGTTGTTAAGGTGTTATACTCTTGGATGAGATTCGAGTGGTCTACACAAAATAGCCTAGGGAAAGGCTAGGAGCCACCTACGAGAACGACATCTCACTTCTTGGCTTTGTCTTAGGAGAAGTTATAAAATTAAAACCTTATCCCAAATAAGCTAGATGCCTGATGGTTAAGAATTTGGCTAAAAGTCACTTTTGGTCTTTATAGTTTGGCATTTCAACCAATTTTGACTCTGTAGTTTTAATTCTGTCAATTTTGACTCTATAGTTTTAATTCCGTCAATTTTGACTCTGTAGCTTCGTATTTGTAGCAATTCAAGGACAAGTAAGTATTCTTGTCAATTTCTTTGACGGTGCAAGGGGTAATTTCATCAACCCAAAACTCTTGAGCGTAAAAGCTTGTCTAAAACTCTCCCCATTTCATATTAGGGCTTGAAATTGGCCATTTGGGTTGAGGGTTTTTCAAAAATTGGGATTAGTGGTTGAATATCGATTAGTGCAATGAAGACCTACATATGACATGTTCAGAGATGGTCTAAGCATTCAACAATTCACAGCCATCGCAATACCTGACCATGCCATGGACATAGTTGACCCTTCATTGCTCATTGAAAGAGATGTTGCTGATGTTGATGATGGAAGATACCAAAATGACATGCGAGCAAGACCAATTACAAGCTACCAGGATGGCAGTCCTATCCAAACAAAGAGATTGGAGGATTGCTTGGTTTCAGTGATGCAAATAGGACTCTCATGCTCTGCAATATCACCAACTGAGCGTATGCAAATGTATTCTGTTGTCAACAAAATGAAGGCAACTATAGACTCATATCTCAATTTGAGAAGAAGAAGCCAGCAGTATGCAGGATAGGGCTAAGTTTGTTATCTGATCTCATGCTCTGCAATACCACCCACTCCCTGCATGTTTGCATAGCTCTATCAATAGTGAGATGGGGTCAACTTAACGGTTTGCTGCAGAGGATTGGCGCCAATTTGTTCAAAACTTTTGTTGGCCATTTGGCATTGGATCTGTCAAGCCTGCATGTAGGAAGTATCATACATTTGCTGATTGAAGAGACCATACATACACGAGAGGGGCACTGTGATGAATTGTGTTTTACATGTTGCCAAAATTTAATAACATAAACCGCCGTGACTAAGTGACTCTATCTCCAACTTCACCATTATCACTCTCAAAGGCCTTTTCATGATCTGCTTTAAGCTTTGCAGCTATATCCTTGAAAAGTTTCTTCTCTTTTAAGACATTCGACATGTGCTTCCTTTTTTCTGAAAAAATAAAAAATAAAAATCAAGCATTTGATGGCTTCGTCAGCAGCTTTATCCATATAAAGCTTCTCCTATTTACGTTTCCCATACACAGAAGTTGCAAAAAAGAAAAGAAAAAAATAAAAAGAACCACATCAGTCATAGGCTTCCACTTCTCACCACCCTCCTTTGCAACTAAAATTGCATTTGAAGGAATTGTAGTTACTAGAAACAATATGGATCACAACATACTTCCAATCTTTACTAATGGGATCCTTAATTACTAAGGCCTCTGAGGAGCTAAATTGTTATTCACGGTCACATGGCTGTGAATCCAAAGGGATTTCATTTTGGAATCAAATGAATTTTTCATGGGTGTTTGCCCCTGTACCCAGATTTGATCGCAAGTGTTCCTGTTTTCTTTTGCCTGCTCCTCACACTAGTTTGTCTGTGTCCATTTAAGATTCATAATTAAAATTTATTTTTTAGTAAATTATTCATACCTTGGTTTCGTAGTAGGATTAGCTACAATATTATTACTCTATTCAGGGAGGAGAGGACAAGAGTCAGAGTGCATTCTTCTCCTCTTTATACATGACTAGCTGCAACAAGTTCAGAGACATTATATGACTAAGAACATGGGGCTAAAGAAATACTAACACACTAAAAGTTGGGAAACTCCACCACATTCTTCCATTGAAAAGTGCATCTTTGCTAAGAAATAAGAATTCCGAAGCTGAAATGGTCAAATTGGCTCTTTGTTTTGTACTTGACCCAGTGTGATTTGAGATGGCAAAGAGACTGTTGAACTACTGAACAGTATCCTAATGGGAGACTAGACTATGGACTTGACCATTTCAATAACATGAAAGATTGGATAGCTAGAAGCAAAGCATCATACCCATTTTGAAACATCCTAGGATTTTCTAATCTTCCAAACACTCTGTATATTTCTAAAAAGTAGGCGACTTTCTGATGTTATGAAAACGCTACTCTTTTTTGTTTACATCTTACTAAAAAATTATACTTCAGCACAAACCTGTCATAAAACCCAGCACCTGCATATCCTTCCAGGTCCTCAGCATTTGAGTCTGATCTGAATATGATAGACTGCTTACTGTATAATCCTATTGGCTTGCTTGGATAACCATTAACCTGAAAGTCAGATTCATGTCTGAGATGTAAAGGTTCACGAAATCTACCACGTTTAACTTCTGTCCCACAATAAGATGAGAGTCAATTTGAAATTGATCTCATAAAAATAACTGAATATTGATGCAAATATTGCCATATCATAAAATTAATAGTTGGTCTTACAGTTGGAGAGTCTAGATTGGATCTTTTGGTAATGAAGCTCATGGCACGTCCAGGTAATGCACCCACCAATGTCTCTCCCAATCCCTTAACTATCTGTGTTTCCATGAAGAAACAATGATGATAAGATTGTATTGATTTAAAACCTAGTATATCCAGCTGTGGGGGGGGGAGAGAGAGAGAGAGAGAGAGAGAGAGAGAGAGAGAGAGAGAGAGAGAGAGAGAGTGAGTGAATGATTTTAAACTCAAAGACAAGGCATACCTCTGTATAAATCTCTGAGGTACCCCTGGATAAGGGATTCTTCATGTGAATTTCAAAAGCATAATCAGCAAAAATAAGTTCTTGAATCAATACATATACAAGCTACAACCATGCATCTCAAATGACGCAATATCTTCAATTTATGATTAATATGTGACAACATAGACACAACCGGAACCATTTTACAGTGCAAAATTAAAAATCAAAATAATTTATTTCCAGTCTCTGTTTGCTTGGGAATGAAATGGAGCAGAAGCGTTCCATAGGCGTTCCATAGTTACAAACAAGGCCAAAATTTATTTGATTCTCAATGACAGTTAAAATTCCCGTAGCTAATGACCAATGCTAGCACCTCCGATTATGATCCTTTATTAGTAGGATCCAACAATTCTTTAATTTGACTTTCTACGTTCTTCTTCATCCAAGCGTAAGGTAATCTTTCGATCACCTCTGCACCAAAGGAAAATAGGAGCGCCTTTCTCGCTGCCTCTAAGTCAATGCCACGTGCCTGGAAATAGAAGAGTTGGCTTTCTTCTAGGTCGCTAATTGCAGCTCCATGCGAACACTTGACATCATCAGCAATAATTTGAAGATTGGGTTTGACATTTACAGTTGCACGAGGTGCAAGAAGAAGACTTCTTGTCAGCTGCCCTCCGTCTGTTTGCTGAGCATATCTGCAAAATATAAGTACCCATTTTGTAAAAGGCATACACTGTTCCTAGTCCAACCTTATTGGTGAGCAGCAAATGTGAAGAATCTAGTCAACGATACAAGAGGTGGCCTCAGAAGTTTAGGAAGCTGTCAGGAACTTTATTAAGAAAACCCATAAAATAACATGGCTTTCATTGCCCTACACTAGAGGCATCTAATTAATTCCTTGGTTTGGAACTACATATATATGTAAGCTGAGAATCTCCAAGAACAAAGAAGTCACATCGGTTGAGGAAATGGGCACAAAGTATTGTGAGGCAAAGTTAACAAGCCCACAATAACCTGGACAGTCATAAAAGAGATTTACCTGTTGACCTTTATGTTCCCATCAAATACGGCTTGTCCTAGAGAATGAGACACAATGCATTTATGAAGTTGTCTGGAATAACCCCGTGGATGGTCCAAGACTATGCTACTATGTAGATCTTGTGTCTGATCACCGACAGACAAGTGCAATGTTGATAACTCGGTGATTGTGTCTGGTCCCAGTTGCTGAACATGGAGATTATGCCTGCTCAATTTTCCACCAGTACTAACCTCTACGAGCTCATATGTACTAGCTGATTCCTGAAAAGCAATCAACTTCATAAATTTGATGCAAAGGGAACTGCATGATCCATAGAAGGATAAAAGTTAAATATGAGGTATGGGATCATGGGCAGTTACCAAAATTGAGAGTTAATTTTCAAGTAAGATTCTATCAAATAGCATTTTAAAACAAATGTCACTCATAAACAAAAACCAAATCATAAAGGGAACTAGCTGCAATATATTATTTCAAATAATAACATAAACTCTTTTTAATTAACTTCAGTCCTTAAAAGGTTTCTCGTGCATTCCACAGGTTATCAAAATACTACAATGATCATGCTACGACCTACTAAATTATATGCACATATACATTTGTAGAATTATTGGTTTCTTGCCCATTCTTCCATATGCCATGCTAACAACAAATCGAACCTAATTATCATTTCTAAAGTCTCCTCATAGATATCCAAGCAATAAAAAAGTAAAAGGCCATGGAACATGTAACACAAAGAAACAGAGAGAGAGAACGAGAACTAACCTGGCGGACCCAAGTCCACTTTATGTGGGCAGCATTCAAAGATTGATTCTGAACATAAGAATGCCTAACTTTTCCTCCTTCTCGAACCACTACCTCAAAAACAGAATTAGCCCAATAACACTTGTCACCATCCCCACCCAAGAACTCCTCAATTATACCAATCTCCCCTCCCTTCTCCACCAACACAAGCACCCTCGGATTCGATAACGGGAGTTTATTCGACCCCTCATCTCCGCCCTCATTAGCAAAGTACCGCAGATAAACTGGAGCCTCCACCCGGCACCCGGATGGTACATAAATCACTGTCAAATCGGGAGCCCCAATTCCATTAATGGACCAAAATAAGTCTCCATCACAACTACTAGACACAAACTCAGAGACCCTTTTCATAATGGTCTCTTCTGAGAGCTCCAGCAAGCTACCCACATAAACCCCATTTGGCAATTCGGTCAAATTTGAGAAATTTACAACAAACCCATCAACTATAACCAGAGTTGGGAAATGGGTATCTTCCAAAATGCTTGGAAAGCTCGGTGGGCGAGAGATTGGTTGGATTTCGGAGTTCTTGATGAAGGAGGTGTCTGTGAAGCGAAAGGGCTCGTCTTTGCGAGAAGGCCATGGGGTTGAGAGGAGGGCCTCAGAGGAAGAGTCTCTGAGATTTTGGAGAGGTAAAGGAGGTGAAGAAGAAGAAGAAGAGGGTAGCGAGTCTTCGAGAGCTTCAGCTAGTTGAAGAACAAAGGGGTCTGATAAGGCCAGCTGTGAGGTTGGAGAAGCTTGAGTTGAAACTCTGGGTTTGGTTTTAAGGGTTTTGATTTTAAGGGTTCTAGGCTTGGAAAGTAAAGGTATCGGAGGTCTTTGAACGTAGGGTGTGAATGATATGGCAGCCATGGACGGTGGGCTGTGGAAACTACAAAAAGGTCGAAGGTTATGTGCAGGTACGGAGCCAGAATTACATGGTGCGGATTCAGAAAAGATTTCTATTTTCAACCCTTGGATGGCTTGTGCGGTGGAGATGTAAACCAAAAACTAACCCATGATAAAGACAAGGGAAATTGACATAGATAGTCACTAAAGATAAACCTTAATAAAAAATAATCACTTTATAAAACTTAACCACATATACTCACTTTCTAACCTGAAAGTACCAAGTTACCCTCCATATAAATACTTAATATTTACCTTTTATCTCCTCTCAAAAATTCATTTCTGATCTAAACCCAACTCTCTAGCTCTTCTCTCCTCTGTCGCACGTAGAGCATTTGAGACCAGCACCTTAATTCAAGAGGAGACCACGCCCACCTCTCAAAAGCCTACACAAAGGAGAAACAAAATGAATAGAAAAGGGCGCATCAACAACAGCAACCCGCCAGACCCATTGCCACCAGGTGCTCTCTTCTGATCCTTTGTCACTTTGTTTTTGTAATTTTGAGTTCTAAGATATTTTTCCCCTTCTTCAATACTCAGGAATCATTTTGCAAAATAACACAAAAAATAAAAATCAAATCTTGATTCTCTAG